CGGAGGGGGGGGGGGGGCTATGCTTCCCCGATGGGGGGGGGCTATAGCCCCGCCCCCTCTGGCGCCACCCCTGCTTAGGACACAAGCGATCTCGAAATGGACAGCAAAGGATTGTCAGTGGCTATTGACGAGTCATGGGGCCGCCCGGTGTGAGAGAATGTTGGGGCCCATTGCAAGCAAAGCCGGTATTTTTTCTCAGAGCAGCAGGGGTGGGCCCCCTACAGATGTTAAACCTAAACAGACTGGATTTAATTATTAGACAACATCAAAAAATATTGTGGCTATATTAACAACTTTCATTTTGCACACAGTTTTAAAATATATTTGCGTGCAACAGGCCTCGCATAAATCATTTGCGTACGTGCATCGTTTTTAGCGTGCATTGGAATACTTAACAGTGGCCAACCGCCCCCCCCCCACCTTGTAAATTTTTCAAAAATTATATGAAAAAGAGACAGAGTTTATATCTTTACTGTATCCTATATACAAATTTAGTCAAATTGTATTTCGCTGAATGGGCTTTGATAACACCTGTAGGCCTATATTTTTCACCGGAACACATGAACTTCCACAATTCATGGAAACGGAATTATCCTGATGGCCAGAGAATGACATTAGGCCTACATATTCCAATGCAGGAACCGAAAATCCAGAAAAGGAATAATTCCTCGTCCTGCTCAAGATCCTGTCACCCGGAATCGAAACTTCCAAACCACACATTCATTCAGTCAATCAAAGCAACTTCCACTCTGAGAATGTATAACTAATTTTTACAAGCCACGGAAAAGGATATTTACTCATTCCCCAATCCAAGGCCGAGAGAGAGAAAAAAACGCCGAGGCATAGGCCTAGTGCATGTGGGAATGTAATTTGGCACTGAGGGGCGAAGCCGATCGCGTCCTCTCCCTTGGGCAATTTGAAAACAAAACCCCCAAAAAACAAGCCGCTGACGTTCGTAAAAGGCATCTTGACTTAAGAAAAGACCATTGTAGACCCTCTTCTTTCATTGGTTCATACTCACAATTATTTGAAATTTTTTCTCAGTAAATCACAACTTTTATGTGACGCAACATCAAGAAATCGTTTCATAATATATGTGTTAATTTGGTTGACTACCAAGTTCATGCAAGGGTGAAGGTGATAATTGACTGGACTAATGTTGTAAACCTTGACTTGTCAATTGTAAAATAAATATCAGTGTGTTGAGAAAAATGAAACATTGTGGGGAAATTCCAGACGAGGCTACGGCACTGCAACCAATGCATCACAAAATGAGCTTAAAAACTGAAGGCGAAGAAACATTGCATTTTTGATATTGGCATGAATGTAGACCAACGGTTTGTAATTATTGTTGTGAAATATTTACCCAAAAAAAAAAAAAATTCTATTGTACAAACAAACAATTAAACTTGTAGTCGATACTAAAAGCTGAAGTTAAGTCAGTGACTTTTATGTTGTTGCATTATTTTAATTATTGTGAAATTGTTTATCCAAAATTTATATTTAAAAAAAATATTTAATCTGTCATTGAAGCCCAAATTAAATCAAAGTGGCTTTGAATTATTGATACAGACAAAGTCAAAAATCAAAGTCAAAGCAAAACTATTAATTCCTCAGTAAAGGACTCGGTATTAAGGCACAAGTCAATAACCTTTTCAATGCGTCATTTAATAAAAATAATTTACAGTTTCGCTGAATTGAATTGTACGAAAGCCTATTAGGGCCACTGAAATATATATATTTTATGTCGTAATTACGACTTAATTACGACTTATTATGTCGAAATTTCGACATACGTATGTCGTAATTACGACTTATTATGTCGAAATTTCGACATAATATGTCGAAATTACGACATTCGTATGTCGAAATTTCGACATAATATGTCGTAATTTCGACTTACGTATGTCGTAATTTCGACATATTATGTCGTAATTTCGACATACGTATGTCGAAATTTCGACTTATTATGTCGTAATTTCGACATAATAAGTCGTAATTACGACATACGTATGTCGAAATTTCGACATAATAAGTCGTAATTACGACTTACGTATGTCGAAATTTCGACATAATAAATCGTAATTACGACATAAAAATATATATTTCAGTGGCCCTAATAGGCTTTCGTAGAATTGCAATCATACAAACTGATATTATCTCGTTCAATAGATTGTTTCAATAATGACTTTTTTTATGGCATATTAGCAATGGTCGTATTCGACTGGTTCCTTTTGATGCCACCGGTATTTCGTTGAGTATTATTTTCATTCGAGTGGTTCGTAAAATAGACTGCGTCGACAATGGAAATTAACGTTATCAACATGAACAAAACAAACATGGCCGATTTGCCAGTTTAGCAACAACATTTGCGTTAATATAATTTAGATTAAATTTCAGAAAATAATAATTATAATATTTACCCACATAAAGTAAAAAAAATAATTGTAGGCTAACTGCATGAATTTTTTTTTAAAGGAAAAAACCCATGCCACAAGTTGAAGCAACATTGCGCTAACGTGTATCGCGGTAACGCAGCCATTTTGCTTTGTCGGGTATTTACCAGTTTTCTTTTCATCCCGGTAGTCTTCGTTAAGTAGAATTTTTACCACGGCGCAGGCAGGCGTGGTCTAACCATAGAGAAAATAGAACATTTCTATTTTCTCTATGGTCTAACGAAGAACGACCAGTACAATACGGCCCGGATGTAAACATAAAATGTTATTGTTCAAACGACATCCAAACAGTATTCGGAATTGAAAGGCCCACTGATCAATCTCAGATAAGATAGTATATAATACTAACTCCAAGTATCGAAATGCACGCCATCGTGTCGGGATTCAATATTTCGACATTAACTATGTCATCATCAGGAATTACTGATGAATCCTGATGATGACATTTAATGTCAAAATATTGAATCCCGACACGATGGCGGCGTGCATTTCGATACTTTGAGTGAGGTATTATACTATCGTATTCAACAAACACAAAAAGTTCCTATATTTTCGTTTGCGAACGTTATTTGGTACCGGTATGTCACAAAATAACGTTCACACTAATTTGTAAGAACTTTCAAACGTTATGACATTGTGAAATTGGGCTAGTCTATAAGTACATTCTTATGGTTCTATAAAATAATGGTTAACACCTAACTGGACATTACTATAACGTTCTTATAAACGTAATATATTGTTAGCTGGGAGTTCCTTCATAATTATATAAATTAAATTCCATATATGTTTGTGTTTGTTGTTGCTAACATGTCACGTCTGTCCCAGTCCCAGATACAGCAGGGGAAATAAAGTGTCCATGGTAATCGGTTATTGCACGAGAGTAGATCGTTAAAACACAAACGTGCCGGGGCCTATAATGTGCTTAGTATTTTGACGTGTGTAGTAAAGGTGTATTTTGATATTTCAAATACCACCTACGCATTTGTAATTATAAGCACATCAAGATCCTAAGCACATTATAAGCTAAGCCTAAAAAAATAAAAGAAAAAAAAACCAGTGTAGTTTCATTAGGGCCACCTCACACAAATTCACTCTGCATCGATAACTTGAATATAAAGAAATTAAGAATTACCCTTTATTTTCAGTATATACACGGCAATTTATTGAGGCTGTTGAAGAGTATATATACAATACAAAAACATATTGATTACCAAATATATATATACTGAATTCATTATACTCTACAAAAGCATAAACGACTTAAAAATAAACTACTAAAACTAGATTTACACTAGACACGATAACGACACGACAACGACATACCATCATCGCGTAGTTTGTATTCTTCAACACTGCGCACATCTTTATCGTGTAGTTGTCGTGTCAGGGGTGGTGCCAGTGGTGGGGGGGGGGGGGGGAGGGCCCCGGCGGAAAAAGCACAATTCGTCGGGGAGGAAAAAAATGTATTTTCTACATATTAGTAGACTCTAAAATCGATTAAATAAGCATTTGAAACCCCTAAATTGTCAAAGTTTTCGGGGGATTCGACCGCTGGACCTATTTCGAAACCTTTTAATCGAAGCTCGAGTACACACACTTTGCTTTCGTCGGGGAAATCTGACCTCTCGTCGGGGGCATCGCCCCTCGCCCCGTTTGGCAAATCCTGGCGCCACCCATGTGTCGTGTCGTAATCGTGTCTAGTGTAAATGTAGTTTACACCTAAGTAACTTATTCCAAACATTACTAGACGTCATGCATTGGGATTGCATTGCGTTGAGGATCTAAGGGTGCATTCACACCGAATCCGAATTTTTGAATAGCAAGGTCTACCGAACAGATTAAAAAATCAGTGTGTATAAAGAATGGGACTGTGAGCGCGGCGTTCTCGCATCAGAAACGCAGTCCAAATTTCGGTTCGGATCCGATGTGAATGCAGCTTAACTCATCACGAGTAAACGTAGGCCTATGTTCTAAGTCCGTCGCATAAATAGAAATTTATACAGTAAATTATACTGTAATAATAATAATCTGAGTACAGTGGCGGCGCTGGTGGACCCTCGACGTCGGGAAACACTGCTTTGAAAAATCATTTTTACATAGGGCCAATTCCGGACATAAGAGCTAGGCTATTCTTGAAATTTAAGCTTT